TATTTTCAATAAAGAAAGAACATACAAAACACACATTCATTAACATATTCTTATCAGTATACCTACGCACACATGCATGCACACACACACACACACACACATATATACATGTATTTATATGCGTGTGTGTCTATGTATGTATGTCTTTATAGATATATATATATATGTACTGCCAAAGTAAAAGTCATAGCTAAGGTTTAAAATGAATTTTTAAGAATGAAAACTCTCTCTTGAGGCTTTTATTTTAGTTTTAATTTCAAGTTAATAAATTAAATTTAATATTTCCAATAAGCAAAATACTTTGCTGTATTTCAAAATGAATTTAAATAGATTTGAATTAGTTTGTTCTTTTTAATCACAAAAAATGGCTGATTTTAGCCATATTTACAAATCTCTCAACAGAACATAATTCTCTTTATTAAAAAATCTTTCAAAAATAAAATATATTTTCCTAAAACTTTATTTAGGGAAGATTAGCTGATTTGAAGTTTAATTAATCTGATTTCAAACAAATATTACTTTTTGTTAAAAATATTTGCAGAAATGCATTTTTTAACAGAGAGGTAGGTGTTTTCATGCAGTGTTTTCAACTATCTGGATAGACATATGTTTTGAAATTTTTTCTATGGGGAACATATCTGTAAAAATTACTTGACAAATATAATATGAGTGCCTTTTTTTATATAGTTTTTTTTTTAACTACCCATTAATCTTAAAAAATTACGAAAATATTCTAAGAAATCTAATGTTTTATTGAATTTTAGTTACTTTTAGCTTTAAATTTACTATAGTTACTGCTCTTATTTTCTGATAATATTGTGTATGGATGTTCATATGTACAATAATTGGCACATTTATACACACACAAAAAAAATTCAAAATTCATTCTAAATTATAGTGAGTTGCTGAATTATAATAAACTTTTCCATTTATGATTAGTAAATATAGCGTTTATTTAATAAGAAAATCACTTTACCACTAAAAATTAATACAGAATTTTTAAAAATTTAAAACTTTATGAATTTAAACTTTTTAAAAATCAAAAGATTTTGTAAAAAATTATTATTCACCAAAAAATTTTTTTCTTAAGACAATAGTGTCCATAATATATCTTATTCATAAAAACATTGAAAATTGCTTTATTTATTTGTTCCCTGATTAGGTGTTGTTTATAGCCCCATGTTGTGAATTGATGCTCCAGATTTTCAATGTGTTTATTTAGTTCTTCATTGTTGGGACATATCCTTCTGAGTCTAAGTGCTTGTGAATAGGGAAGGTTCTCTTTGAGGTGTTAAGGGTGGGAAGACATAAAGTGTAGATAGTTGTGGGTGTTGATGATTTTAGTGTGTAGTGTCATTTGTAGTTTCCTGTTTTCATCTATGTAAATGCAAGTGTCTAAAAATGTTACTGATCTTGTGGATTTTTCATAGTCAAACTTAATTGAGTCGTGCACTGTGTTTAGGGTCATGAGGAATTGGATAAGTTTGTCGTCACTGCCCATGTATATAAAGAATATATCATCGATATATCTTGCATAGAATACACAGTCGCTACCAATGAGGGGATAGATATGGGTCTCCACAAATTTTCCCATGAATATTGTAGCATATGATGGAGCTGCAATGGTGCCCATGGCACAGCCTCTTACTTGCAGGTAGTGTGCTCCATTGAAGTTGAAAGTATTTAATGTAAGAATATGCTTCATGAGTTTTATGATAACTTCTGTAGGGGGGGAGGTCTTGTTTTCTTCTTTTAGTAAGTGCTTCCTGAATGGCAGTCAGCCCTTCAATGTGTTTAATATTTGAATAGACTGATCTTACGTCCATAGTCACTAGAATAGCATTCTCTGGAACTGTTTGTATGTGATTACTTTTGTTTAGTAGATCTGTTGTGTCTCTGATGTAAGATTTTACTTCCTTAGCTAGGGGTTGTATGTAATGGTCTATATATTTCGAAATTTTGGTCGTGTAGCAGTTGAATGATGAAATGACCGGCCTTCCTGGGTTGTTGCTTTTGTGTATTTTAGGAAGGAGATAGAAGCGAGCAGTCAAATGAGAGTGGATCACTAAGAGTATAGCCTGATACACTACTAGAATTATGATCAGAAATTTCTACTGTATAATGTTCAGTTTATATGATTACTGGAGAAACATTGCATTAAGTGCCTTGACACAGAATATGTTGATATTGTAACAAATATTTCTTGTCTAAAATAAATGCTTTATTCATCATTAACCTATAAACTGGTTACCTTATTATATTCAACTCTTTGAAAATAATACATTTGTAGCTTTATCATGAGAGGCTAATTAACTTGTTTGATTATTTAATTGGCTTTAGGTAAATGTTTTGACATATTAAGTTATTAAGCAGAATTTGCTTAAAAGAAAATTTCTTACAAATCCCAATCAAAAAAATCTTTGCTCTGCAGAATTTAACAAAAAAAAATCTCTGAGGTCAGCTTTTTTTATAAACTTTTAACTATATCTAAAGTATTAAATTTGCTTGCCTTGCAGAAATTCTTCTTAACACTTTAATGTCTATGCCAATTTAATCTTAATTTTAAGTTTTACTGGAGTTAGAAAATAATTGTATTATTTTTATTTTTCCCTTTTATTTTATTTTTTATTTATGTAAAATATGAAAGATTCAGTTTACTGCAGTTTATTTAAAATTTTGTACCCCAAAAAACACAGAAATCATTTTTTCCAGTCAATTAAATTTAGGCAGTGATTTTCGAGAATGCCCTTGATGGGGTAACAATTTCCATCATTTCAGATTCTTGTAATAAATCCCATTTCCATTATCAGTGACAGTATTGCCTCAAAATTATATATCAACTGACTCATTTCAAACCCCATCAAGAGTATGATAAAGGGAAATTGGGAGTTCCTATCTGTTTTATTGTTTCTTGGACTATGCTTAGTACATTTATAAGTACAGATGTGAAGAAATGGGCTTAGAACAGTTAAGTATACTGTACTATATCCTTAATGAAACTACTAATAGAAAACACTCTTGAAACCAGTCTACTGATGATTGTGGGTTGGGGGTGCTATGCTGATAGCATAGATATTTATAATTGCTATAAGAATGATCTTGAACAAAAAATCAACATTCTGTAGCAAAGCTCTGTCTTTACAACAGTCAGATCCAACCAAGAATGGAGAATAAATGCTATAACTGGAGTGGTGAAGCACAATTCTCACTGTCCAGCCCTAACAGTATTCAAAATTGCTTACCTGTCCTTGTGGGTGATGGTTTATTCTCAACTTTGCAACCATTATCCCACAGATGAAACATTGCTAGCTGCTCACTACTTTATTGCTATTATTATGGCAGATGTTCAGACAACTTCTTCCCCAGAATTGTTACTTTGTGTTAAAAACTCCCAAGAGGATGCTTCCCTGACAACAACAACCTTGATCTCTAAGTTTAGGGTCAACCAGCATTTATCCTACACATGCTCATAATATACATTACTTACTTCCTCCTTCACCCTCTCTTAGAACAGTCTCGCTCAATAAACCTCTACATTGAGTAGCCATTGGGCTTTATATTGGTTGAACTAACATTAAAAAAAATGTGTTCCAAGAATTAAGAATTCAAATAAACCTTTTCAAAACAGAAATGATGTTCTGGAACATGAAAGTATGAAAATACATTTTTATAGTAAAAATACTAGCAACAGATTTTTAATAGTAAGAAACAATTTCCAGTAAAAGATTTTAATGATAAAAAAAATTTACTAAAGCTCCCAAGAAAATTAAGTTTCAGCATTAAATGACCCATAAGAAGTTGATATGTTTCTTCAATACTCACAGTGCCAACCTGTGGTTTATACTGTAACCATACTGAGCAGACTGTAGTTACAGAAGAAAGTGCAAAATCTGGCATGAACAACAATTTTTAAACAAGGCCAGTACATTCAAATCTTGAATTATGGTGACTTATGTCTTTGTGCTAGCATAACCATTGATGTGTTCTGAACTGGCTAATCATGATGGCTACCCACAACATAAGGTGTAGTATGGTTTTCAGGCACTTCTCGATGATTGCTGCATGCTAAGATTGTCTTTCCAGGCAGATATTTTCAAGAAGTCACCTCCTTGACAAATTCAAAACTTGTGCCGCATGCTAATATTCTATTATACCATGCATGTGTCTACTTCAAAGTAATATCAAGCATAAAAAGAAAGAAAAAAAAGAAAATGGTTGTATCATTATCATCTTCTATACAAATTTAAGGAAATTCAAACAAGTGATTATGCATGTCACCATTGCTGCAAATTATCAGGCCTACTACTATTATGAGTGTGCAGTCCCTGTTGTAGTAGTAAAATGAAAAAGCATTACTAGTTACTGCAACTTCAACTATCCAACTCCGAATTGTAACAGAATAATCCTCCAGGCTAATGCAGAAAATGAATGGTGAGGGAAAACATGAAACAGAAAACACAACAGAACATTGAGTTGATTCTCTATTCTCTTTTATGCAACTATATATTGGTAACAAATTCACAGATGTGTTTTTCTTGGTATGTGTTAAATTGTTTGGTTTGGTTTGTTTCATAAACTCTAGGTACAATAAAGGAAAGTTCATCAGAACAATTACCATGAAAGTATTTATAGAAAAGTCATGGAGAAGCTACATTATAGTGGTGGGAAAGTGACTGAAGCCAAGATGCCAGGTCAGGATCAATAACATTAAGGATTCTTCTTTGGATTTTATTAAGAATCTGTAAATATATAACAGAAGCACCAGACCAGATATGACAGCAATATTTGAAGCATATACAAATGGTATAATAATATTGTACTATTACTATTTTTTATTACAGTGTGCTAAAAATTTGTTTACAAATATTTCCTGATATCAGAGATTTTTTTTTCTTGCTTTGTTTATGCCAATAGCTTGTCTGAATTGTCTTACAATAAAATTCTAGTCTTTTTTCTTTTGCTCAACATATGATTGATTACTTTTGGTATATTTTACTTACATAGACTTGAGCTGTAGGGACAGCTGCCTTAGCCTGAACTGTGTTTTGCAATTGATCCAGACGAGATTTTAACTGCTCCTGGTAAGCTTCAACCAAACGTGCACAGCTGATAACATCATTCTGAAATGAACATCAAATAAGTGCATTATCACATGACATGGTTTTCTATATCATCATTTTTTTCATATCATCCAATTTTTATCCATATTTTTATTTCATAACTATTTTGATGCTGACAATAACCTAAAAACCAAAAAACTGACTTCACCTTTTGATTGTATAATCAAATGATAAATAAACATTTTACATAATAATAGATAAGTAATGAAGAACAAATTCGCTAACAATGAATTGCAAGAACAACACAATAACCATAAACACAAAATTTGTATGAAAGCAAGAGAAAATTATTAAAACAATTCTGTGGTTTTTAATTAAAGGAAAAAATTGTTGTCAAAATATACAAGGTAACCAAAAAAGTTCCGTCCGTTTTTTAATTAGTCATTGAATGAAGTTGAAATATATACGAAATGCGAGTAGCAATTGTTTTCAAATTTGGACAGCTGGAAGTAGGAACATCAGACGTTATAAAAAATACACGCACCCTGCCCGGCCATCAGTTATAAGCCGGACAGCTGTGAGAAGGATGGAAGTGTCTAAAGATCTCGTTTGGGGCTGTTTGCTTTACGACTTCAAAGTGAGCTTATCAGCAGCTGCATCAAGTCGCCACATATGTCAAGCGTTTGGTGATAGTGCTGTGGATGAATGTACTGTAAGACATTGGTTTCAAAAATTCAAATCGGGAGATTTGTCTCTCCATGATGATCCTCGCAGTGGACAACCACAGGTCTTGAATGATGGAGTCCTGAAGGCGGCCATTGAAGAGGACAGTAGTCTAACATGTGGTGAACTTGCAAGACAGTTCAACGTTTCTGAAGAAATAGTTAAACTTCACCTGCACTGCCTAGGTAAGACGTACAAACTGAGCAAGTGGGTTCTACAAACGCTGTTGGAGGTTCACAAGGGACAACGAGTGGCAGCCTGTTTATCGCTGCTTTCTCGCCACCGTGCCGCATCCTTATTCAATCGAGTGCTTACCAGTGATGAAAAGTGGGTTCTGTATGAAACTCCCAATCATTCCAGATGTTCATTGTCTCCTCAGGATGCTGTCCCTCACACCACAAGACTGCCTATGCACCCATGCAAGATTATGCTTTGTGTCTGGTGGACAGGTCGTCAAGTGGCTCATTATGAACTGCTACCAATGAGCCAAACGGTCACTGGAGACCTATACTCACAGCAATTGAAACATGTGCAACAGGCATTGCACCAGAAGGAGCTAGCACTGGTGAATCGCAAAGGTGTGCTTTTCCTCCATGACAATGCCAGGTCGCATGTCGCGCGAGTGGTCAGGGATACCATACAGCAACTTGGGCGGGAGACTTTGTGCCATCCACCTTATTCACCTCACTTTGCACCATCCGATTAACACCTCTTCCACTCCCTGGATAATCATCTTCATGGGAAATCCTTCACCAATGAAGCAGACTTGCGCAAAGCCCTCACAGACTTCTTTGCGTCAAAACCCCCGAGTTCTAATGCAAGGGCATTGAACAGCTGGAGACATGTTGGCAGAAGGTGCTGGATGCCAATGGCAATGGTGATTACTTCAAAGACTAAATTTAAGTTACACATACTGTGACGCATTTTTTTTTTCCTTTAAAAACGGACAGAACTTTTTTGGTTACCTTGTACATTAGAGCCACTATTCATTTAACAACTTACCTGCTTAACAACCCCACCTACCTGAACTTAAAAGGAAAATATATAAGCTATAAAATCTCATAAATAAAAAAATAAAAAATAAAAATCCAAGCAGTTAGTATTTTACCTTGTATGTTGTATGAAAACTTTGAACAGGGAAATTTCTCTTTCTTCAAAATTAATCAAAATATATAAAATGAACAAATAAAGTGAAAAATAAGTAAATAAAAATTTACTTATACTATATTTACAGTATCCAAAGCAAATCGAATTACAAAATATGGAGCTGATTTCTTACTTTGCTTATTATGTTTACTATTCAGTACACTAGTGTATTGTATAAACATTTAAAAATAATGTCTGAAATAGTGGTCAGACAGAACTTCTCACTTAGTGACTAACTTGATTAACAACCAAGTTACTGGAACAGAACACAGTCATTACATGAGGAATGGCTATATATATATATATATATTTGAATAAAGGCAAAAGGAAAACTAATCTTAGCCAACACATTTCATCCTCTGATGGACTTTATCAAGGCAAATGTAAGGATTTTATTTTGCAACAAGTATTTATAAACAAAAGTAAAAATATTGTTATTTTTCAAAATATTTTAATTTAAGAAATGCACATAAATATTCATCAGGCTACCTGAAAAATCTAGGCAAATTATGGAGGATGTTAAATAATGTAATTTAATGTCTAATAAACAAAAGTGAGTAATTTTTTATAAAACTCTTACATTTTCCTTGATAAAGTTCATCAGAGGATAAAATACATTGGCTAAATTTCCCTTTTGCTTTTATTCATATTGTCCTTTTACAGATATATTTTTAGTGTTATATCTGAAATTTTTCACACACACACACACACACAGATAGATAGATAGATAGATAGATAGATAGATAGATAGATAGATAGATATAGAGAGTTAAATAATGAAGAGATAGATAGATAGATAGATAGATAGATAGATAGATAGATAGATATAGAGAGTTAAATAATGAAGAGATAGATAGATAGATAGATAGATAGATAGATCCAGTGACGATTAGTAAGACAAGAAAACCAGCAATTCTCATTGACACCCATGAAAAATATAAAATTAAATCAGAGAAAAAACCTACAAAAACGAAAAACCTACAAAAAATAAAAAACTACAAAAAACAAAGTTAGCTTCAAACAAATAAAAAAATATTCAGTGAAAAGAAAACTAGAAAAAGGTCTGTAAAGAAAAACTAAGGAAAAACTAATGAAACTGATAAATCCAGAGATGATGAAAGTTTTAGTGTTTACTTACTGTATGTAGAACTATATTCCAATACAAGGTCTAGTAACAATTGGTTAAAGAAAACATCTTGTCAAATGTGGGCACATCTTGAGTATGTTTCAGTTAACAATAAGAAATACTTAGTCAAAATTATAATCTGATGATTATGAATTTGACTATTGTTTAATATAAGAATTCAAATTAATAATTGACTTGGCTAAGATTTGCTACTGATGTTGTTTTGATATGTATTAAGATTTTATTGAACAGAAGGTATCAGTAAAGATCTGTTTTGTGTGCCTATTCTTTTCTTATTGTTCTCCTTCAACCCTGTCTTCCTCTTATTACGATACATCATTAAAATCCACTCACATATGATTCTATTTGTCTTATTAGCCAGTCATTATGATATAATAATATAGTCAAATCTAATATATTTTCTTTTATTGTTAATACTTGTGTCTGATTTGGTTTCAAATTCTATATTTAACAATTATAACAATATATTTATTATATTTGAACCTCTTAGCAAAAGAACTGACTCACCCTAACATATTATGCAGGATGCAGGATTGATGGCATAGATTGGTACATGTTTTTCTGAAGGTTTAAATGATAATATAGTAAGCTTAACTAATCTTTCAGATTTAAACAATCCATAAAAAGAAAGGTTTTTTCATAACTTAGCATAATATTTGGAATTTAATGAATTAATTTATATAGACGTAATAGTGATAACAGTTATCAACTGGAATGCAGTAAAGAACACAAGGCTAACTCTTTCATATCTCACATTATTGTTCATTCAATTCTGGACTTTGTCAACACTTATTCTTAACAAGTGAGTGTGTGGCTTTAGGGTTTTCTTTGAATGTGGATTCTTCATTCTTGTGAGGATTTAAGAAACTTTTTCCCTCCTCCTCTCTTGAGTGAGTAATTATATATCTACCACTAATCTGTTTTGCATCATGTCTGCACATCATAAGTGCAACTGGGTCTACTACCTGTTCAAATGTTGGGGGCAACCACTGACATCTTGTGTAAATACAGATCTGCACCTGACAATTAGGAAGTTATTTTCCAGGTCAATCCATTGATGCACCTTGGCTTCCCTGATGCCCAGGTGTAAGACAAGGTCTATTTTAACATCATCTTGAGTGAAACCAGTACATATTGGGGGCACCACAGATCAACTTCTCTTAGACCAAAAGTTCCTTACTGACATTAAATTTGATTCAGACTATCTAGTATTTCCAGGCATAAGTTAAATATTACACAGTTATCTAATTACTATAAATGTTATTTTTATTGGGTACATGTGTTTGAATTGCTACCATTGTTTTTTTTTATTTTATTTTATTTTACAGTGAAATGAATAACAGTGGGCCCAGATTGAAAAGTCTTATTAAAGGAAAATTGTGCCTCAGACAGGAATCAAACCTGCATCTTTTTTTCACATCTGGAGAACTGCTTTCTTAGCCAAAGCATGCCTCTACCTGCTCAGCCACAGAGACCTATCTAACAGGGCAAAGTTTGAATTACCTACTTAAGGAAAGCATATTTCTTGTTCGGACTTCTATGAATCTATATCTGCTAGTTTCTGTTTCATGTAGAAAACATAAACAGCTGTAATTTTTAATGGATCTTTTATCCGACACTATTTCTTATTACTATAAACATTATTTTTAGTGGGTACACATGTTTGAGTTGCTATCTCCTTTTTTTATTTTGTTAAACAGTGAAACCTAGATTGAGAAAACCTACACAGAAAGGTTTTAATTACTTAAAATAAAAAAGGGGAAGCAACTCAAATAGAAAATAATGTTGGATAAAAAATCTTTTCAATATTTTAGTTATTTAAATGAACATTTTGCAAAAAAAAACAAAAGAATTTCTACTATATGTGATTCTTTCTGCTTATTTAACACAAGTAGAATAAATGTCAAAACAACTTTAATGATGTGGTAAAATGAAAGATAAATAGTCAATGATGAGGCTTTCTCTAAGAAATTAAAAAAACTGTTTAAATTTGTTAAAAAATGTTCTTATTTGAAATGAATAAAATAAATTATTTTAATGGAGTTATTTTTATGCTCACTCCTCTGCATCACAACAAGGAAAGTAACAAATCAAGGACAGCAAAGCATTGTCCATTGGTTTTCTTTGGGATTTAAAGTCACATAATATTAGTTTCCCATCTCTACTGATTATTATACTAAACACTTCAGATACCAAAGGGTATAGATCAGTCATAACAAATTAAGCATAAGAGAAAAAGAAAATGAACATAGAATAGACTACACCAGAAGGTAGTTTTGCCCAACACTGCAAATTACTACAAAACCAAAACATTAACCTGAAAACTCGAGTCATGTTCTTAAATAGCCTCGCCAGATCGAGACTTTCATATAGATGCCATGCATGGTGCCAAACCTGTTCAGAAATATCTAAACTGTCAGCTGTATAAAACTACTTCCTAAGATCAATGGTGAAAAAAAGGTTTTGAGTGAGTAAAGCTTCAGGGTCTTAACAAAGATCATCCTTCTTTTAACATTGTGGACTGGTGCTACAGTTTCAGAGACAAAGAAATGTACCAGAGAACAGAAAGCATGTCACTTGAGGACTACCAACTGTAGCAACAACTAAAATGGATAGCACATATAACTAATAATGCTATAACCAAGATGTAAAATAAAAAGTTTGAAAGGAAAGCCCCATCATTAATGAAAAGAAAAATAAAAACTACTGGACTTGAGAAACCAGTTTTCCTAAAAAAGTGTTTTAAGAGAAAGACTTTATAAATTTCAACCAAAAACAGTACCGGCTGCTAGATCAATGAATGCCAAATGTTTCCTTGTAGGGAAATGGTTAATATTACTATTAACATTACCATTGGACTATCAAGCCAATGGAACAATATATTGAAATGAAAAGTAACCAAATGAAAGCTACATCTGTTGCTGCTGCTGATCATTATAATCAGCTTCAAATTAGATCTCTTTCTGATTCACTCTACATCAAAACCTGTTGGCCAAATGTGAATGCTAAGAAAGCAAAACTAAAAATAAAAAAATCACTCTCTGTGAAGTGACTCCAAGCATCACATCCAGCTTACAAAACAAATCCCATTCTCTCAAGATATAAAATGCAATACAAAAGAAGCCAACCATGAACATTAGCGATAAAACAAAAGGCACAACCAAAAACATTCTGAGCCATGATCCACCCCATCTGCTTTTAAGAATACCACTCACAACATTGTTGAACAGTCACAGCAAGTGGGTAAGCTGTCAATGTCACCACTAGAGATCTCAGTCAACTGACCAGATCAACATCAAATCCTGGCTCTACAGGCTCTTCTCATCTTGCAGGTTATTTCCCTCACCTACAAAGAGATCCTCTATATCAGCAATACAAAGAATTTTATCTTAACAATATTTAAGGAAACAATACTTTCTGCCTCATCGATGATACTTTGTTATTTCACTTGTTCTCTCATGCATCCCTACGCGTTTATAACATGTTGCTGTTATTAAACTGTCATAAAGAAGAATAGATAAAATTTTTTAGAAAAGAAGAATGTGCATTAACTGACCAGAATGATTCTTAGGTAGATCTCCAGTTGTCGTACATTGAAGTGAGATTGTATTAATAATTCCAACATCTCAGTATGGACAACTTTCCTCTTCTTCACCAAGACATTTTCTAGAATTGCTAAAGAATATACAAAAGCCAAAGTTAGACAAAACAATATTAAATTAATTTCTGTGAATATATAAATCTTCTAAAACTTACTGTGCACAATTCTATATACTTCAAGAGTGTGTGAGGTAAAGCTTTTTTATACTACATATTTCCCAATACAGGGCTCGAAAGCCACTCAAAGTAGAAGTCTACAGTTAAAATGGTTATGATGAATGAGGTGTGATATGAGATGAAAATTATAAGGATGAGAAAAATAGATAACAATTGACCCTTGATATGAAGAGGTTAAAGTTTGATGTGTTCAAGGAAGCATTCACTCAACAGTTAGTCATACAAAATGATAGTTCTTTGGAAAATGCTGTCTGAGTGAAAATTTCCTCTTGCGTTTGGAATACAGTGGAGAGGATACTGTGGGAGTAGCATGGCATGTCCTAATAGTAAAGGTCTGAACTGGTGAAACTAAAGAAAGGTGCTCATCTGAACATTTAGCCTGGAAATATTGGTATAGTGGTGATAGCTTGCTACATTGCCTCTGTGGGGAAAAAAGGCTGGAGAGTGAAGAATAGATCTTCCCCAGCAAGACTGCCTAATTGATTTTGAACTCTGTCAAGGTTGAAAAGTGAGGATTGAGAAGCTCCAGCCCAGATATTACAGTAACACTTCCAGTTTAATCTGACTCTTGTAAATATTAATCATAACAAAAGGAGACAGATACTCCTTGAAACAATATATAAACAAAAGTTAACAAAGAAAAGATAACATTAAGGAATATAAATTGAAAATACTTTTACGAGGCTGTCATAAAAGCCAATTCTTTTTCATACTTGAGGTCTGCTCATAATACAGGAGTTAGTACATTGGTCTCATAAACCAGTAACAATAATGAGCATTCAATTCTCTCTCTGAAAATCCAGAAACATGACTTTTTTGTTTCAATTTTCTAGATAAGGTGTTTTAACTACTATAGCCATATCAATCAAGGCTGGCTAACTGCATTCAGGATCATAGAGTCATTGTAAAGTCCATGATACTTTGGTTTGATTTGTTTTACAGCATATCAACCTCAATGGGTTATTTAATGACGACAGGATTTTTATTGCTGTAATATTTTCTTTTTCCAAAAATGTATTGCTGGTAATTTTTTTTTTTAAATGTATAGCTGGTAATATTTTTTTTTCAAAAATGTATTGCTGGTAATAATCTATTGCTAGTAATAATCTTTCTTCAAAAATTTATTGCTCGTAATAATTTTTTACAAAGTATTTCTGGTACTAAAGCCTATTTTTACACTTTCATAGTGTTTTGACCCCAGTTTGGAGGTTAACTATTTACTTATAGGTGGAACCCTCACAGGTACTATCACCACGGGTCAGGGTGGACCTGGGAACACCAGGAATTAAGAGGTGGTTCCACGCTCCTCAAAACCTCCTGATCAGAGGCCTTGCTGTTGGACGTATAGTTTATTGTCTTACTCAGGATGGCGCAATCCTTTCATTAGTTGCATAGCATGTGCTTCATCAGGGCTACATACAGTTTTGTATTTAGAGTTGTCCTTATTGTAGATTAGTTGCCACCCAAGGCTGAAGAGCTCAGTCTGCCCTACTATTTACCCATAATTGGGGGTTTTGAATTCAGAGTTGTCCTTCTCCTAGACTGGTTGCCACCGAATTATATAGGATCCAGTCTGTACTGCTATTTACCCATAGTTGGGGAGAGAAGAGATAGATTGATATTTTTCCCAAGGATATTTGCATGTAAGTGAATGTAATGAACTCGACAGGAATTTGATCTCAGCTCTCTGATTTCTCAATCTATCCATTACTCCCCTCGAAATAGAGCTATCCATTACATGCCCCAAAATAGAGCATTGATGTCTTAGTGTAGTATGTAACCATTTGTGTCTTAGTGGCTTTATTACCTTGCATGGAGTGAAATGATTCAAAAAAATTTCACTTGTAACTTACTTCTTTTTCTCTTATCTTTCATTCCTCAGGATTTCTTAAATATTCAGGTTGGTAGATGAAAATAAATAAATATACTGTTTAATAAATAAATGGAGTGTCTACTCAAATGTGAGTTTCCACTAAAAATAATGTTTATGATGATAAGATCTGTCAGATTAATAAATAAATAAATTCATTACTTCTTTAGAAATTGATATTGATTTGAGATTTTTAATTTTTGATTGAGGACTGCTTCAAAAAGTAATGCCTATCATAATTTAATCTTACATGTATTAGTGAGAATTCTTAGTGTTATTAATAGAAGCCTTGGAAAAATTTATAGAGGCAGGTACATTTTTCCCCATTTTCTGATTTTAAGTATAAGTGTCTTTTTATTTTCCATTTTCTTTAAAACTTCCTCATTACTCACAAGCTTCGTCCATGGTATTCTCAGTATCCTTCTCTAGAACCACATTTAGGGATACAAACTGCAAATCTCTCCCTTTCGTTGAGATAGTCATGAAGGTCACATGACAGCCAGATAGTGACATCAGGAATAGTGACAAAGACCAGTTGCAATGTAGAGCCCAGAGTAGAAGGATGTCCCCAGTTCACAAACCACATGGCCTCATAGAGAAACCACCATAACTCCAGTTTTCCCTTTGGGAAATATTACAATTAAGGTTCCCCTTTTTTACACGCTGTTGTTGCATATATGTTATAATTTATCTGCATGGGACATGTGTATATGTGTATATATCTAATTTTGTGAAAGAAATAGCATTATAAAACTCTCTCTGAGAACAAAGCATGTTTGTCATTCTTTTTCCCTTCAGATATTCCGTGAATTATGCTGTTATTATATCATGGTTACAATAATGCCCATAATGGGAGAAATACAAATGGGAGAATAAGTCTTTCCACTATAGATCTTCCATTACAAACATTTCTGTTGTCTCAGATCTTCATCTGTGAGGAGATTGTTCAGCATTCACATCCTTATATGAAGACTAATATTACATAACAGTTCAGCACTCTTTTATTTGTTTCTAATGAAATTTTCCCATCTCTTAAAATTTTGCTTAATTTTTACATGGCATTTTTTGTTATTCTAATACACCTCCAGATGTTGATGTCACATTATCCATCATCTGCTACTACATTCCACAAAATAATTCAATTTCTGTACTTCTTTTGATTCTGATGTTTCTAATTCAAAACTTTGGCTCTCATTCTCTTGCTGATGACTATACATTCTGCCTTCTTACAATTAACAGTTAGTCATTTCTTCTGGCTTTTCTTGTCTTGGAGTTCTTGCAAGTCTCCTTCTGAATCTTCTATCAATAGAGTGTCATCTGTGTATTTTATGTTATTAAGATTATGTCCACCATTAATAAATACTTGCTGGATTTCTTGTTCTCTTTGGATTGCCCTGGGGTATAGGTTAAATATATCCTAAGAGACGATGCATTTTTATCTTATGCCACAATCTATTTTGCACATCTATTTGTCCAATTTATTTTATATCCGTAAGCAAGTGTTTTTTTTTTCAGTAAATGTTACACATTATAGTAACATCATATTCCCAAATAAATAAAGTTTTCCTCACAGTTTAAGTAGATTTTTGTGCTGTACCTTATCAAATACTCTTGCATAATCTATGAAGTGTATTTTGTATTTGAGTTGCTCACTCTGATCATAAAGATATCATTTCTTGATTCAGTGTGTTGATCCATATTTTTGCCCTATTTTCAGTCTAATTCTGCTATGAACTCTATTCATTATGATTTTAATTATAAGCTTAATTATAGGACTCAGTAAATGTATGGTGGAGCATATATTCATTGTACCTGGCTTCTTTGACATTGCAATGAAGATAGATCTACTGAAATCTTCCAGTGTTTCACCACTGTCATATATTTTGTTCATTATTGCTGCAATCTTGTTGATCCTGAAATCATCTAAAGCTGATGGTATCTGTTATAATCTCATCTGGTCATGCAGCTTTGTTTCTGTTTATCTTGGCCAGTGCTGATCTTACCTCAGATTTTAATAATAACCTTTTTATGTTTATGTGAATTATATGTTTCTCTTCTCTATCATCATGGAAGAATTCTTTTATCTGTCCATTTCATCTTTGAAGTATGTCTACTTTCTTTTTATGAGCATTCCCTTTTTAGATTTCATCATAAACCATATAATCACTATACTGAATGGCTTTCTTTTTAGTTTTGCTAGAACAACTCTGTTTGATCATTGACAGTACCCCAAAATGCACATCCTTTTGTTTTTATCTAACATTAGTCCAACTCCTTGTTTATTCTTCTCTCCTGCATATATGATGATGCTATTATCACTTATAAAAATCTCTTTTCATTTTGTTTCATATAAGGCAAAATACTTTTTCATCTCAGAGTGTTTTCTCTTATGTGCCATGTCCCTTTACAAGTTAGGCAATAATGGCTCTCTACAGCTTCTTGTCCTTTGTAGTTCTAAGCAATGCTTGAATCTTTATCATCTCTTTCTGATTATACAAACTTGTTAGGTTACAGCAGTTGAATGCTTGGAATAAAAACAGCAAAGAAATGGAAAATTATCCAAATAAGTCATTGTATAAACATGGCCGCATCTTGAAAAGTAATTCTTTCCTGTGTCTTTCTTCTTGCCTGGCATTCATCCCAGACAGTTATCAACAAAGTTTACAGACCAGTAGCAAATACACAAACAGGAAAAAAGACACATTTTTTAAATATTTCCTAGCAGTGGAATATGCACAGAGATCCTGGTATTTTGTTTCAGTAAAATATGATCTGCAGGGCTGTAAAACAGATTTCACATTGCAGTTAGAAATGATGCATAACAGATTTCCAAGCCTGAAAGAATAGAATACAAATTTTCGCAATTCAGTTTGCAACAGATTGCTAGTTTTAACCAGGAAAACAATAACACTCTCAATAAAATCATTTAACAAAGTTGCTGCCTATTTCAGTGTTTTATTTAAGGAATGTTGTTAAATGGCACTAACCCAACTTCATTTCAATTTTATACCGTCAATAATTTACTCGG